TGCAAAGGAGAACCCAGGTAGAGACGGGAGCTTTCAAACAGACCAGGGGGCACGCAGGAGAACGCACCACTAACTCCACACGCAGGGTCACCACTCTTCTCTGTGCCCCTGAGGCCAGTTTCTGCCTGGGAGGCGGTGCCCAGCCTCTCTGCCAGCATGAAGTTCAGGGGAACATCTCACAGGGCCCCAAAGCCGAGGGATATCACACCCGAAGGTCACAGAACTCCCTGCGAGAACACACGTCCCTGCAGGCCAGCGGGACATGGAGTGTGGCGGCTGGCCCGGCCGCGTGCCCTGCAGTGACCGTGGGGGAGTGAAGGCTTCGGGACCCTGCACACCCTCCGGGGCAGCCGAAACGGGAGTCCGTTTTGCCCAGGAGAGAGATGCTGTGGCCAAAAAGCAAAGGCCACGCCCCCAAACATCAGCTCCATCTCATTTCTCAGTCTCCACATCCGGCCACGGATCTCGGGGCGTTTAGTGTCGTTCTATTTTAGCTCCCGGATGTGGCAGAAAGGAGAACCCCTTGCCCTCAGGTGCCAGGCCCGGCCAGCAGCAGGGCACTCCTTCCGGCTCCGGGAGTGACAAGGAGGCTGAGCTGTAACTGCAAACGTCAGGATCCTGAGCTACACGGAGACACCAGGCCCCGTGGGGGGAGGAGGGGGTCACTCAGCGCCTGGCTGTCCTCCAGGGACAGTGCTTTGGGCGCTGATAAGCTCCCAGGCCAGGGAGCAGCCTGTGGAGGAGACGGCTCGCAGGTGTGTAAGGAGAGCAGGGAGGCTGGGATACTGCCATCCCATGGGAAGCCACAACCAGCACACGAAAGAGGAGGATCCGCAGTAGAGGGGCCAGAAGGTCTTTGGGGGAAAGGGAGGTTCGCAGGGGAGCAGGCCCCACTGCGCCATCCCATGGAAGCCACAACCAGCACACGAAAGAGGAGGGTCCGCAGTAGAGGGGCCAGAAGGTCCCCTGGGTCTTCAGGGGGAAAGGGAGGTTCGCAGGGGAGCAGGCCCCACTGAAGTTCACGGGTGAGCATCTGAACTTATTTATTTATTTTTAAAACTATTTTTATTGATTTCAGAGAGGAAGGGAGAGGGAGAGAGAGAGAGAAACATCAATGATGAGAGAATCATTGATCGGCTGCCTTCTGCACACCCCACACTGGGGATCAAGCCCGCACCCCAGGCATGTGCCCTGACCAGGAATTGAACCCTGATTTCCTGGTCCATAGGTCGACGCTCCAACACTGAGCCGGGCCGTTTGTAACTGCAAACGTCAGGATCCTGAATGAAATGCGTGCCTCTTGACAGGAAGAACTGTCGCCGGCTCCTTCCCACCCGCTTCAGCCACTTTTCCCTCCCACGACAGACTCTGGACCCAAAATCTAAAATCCGGTGAGACTTCAGCCTCGGGCCGCAGTCGCTGAGAATGAGCATTTACCTTTCACGTGACCCCAGGAGCAGCCTCCTCCCAACTAAAGACACTGAATGAAATGCGTGCCTCTTGACAGGAAGAACTGTCGCCGGCTCCTTCCCACCCGCTTCAGCCACTTTTCCCTCCCACGACAGACTCTGGACCCAAAATCTAAAATCCTGTGAGACTTCAGCCTCGGGCCGCAGTCGCTGAGAATGAGCATTTACCTTTCACGTGACCCCAGGAGCAGCCTCCTCCCAACTAAAGCTGAAAGGGCTTCGCGTGGCTGAGCAGCGATACCCAGAGCGCCTCCCGCCCGACACCTCCGAGCTCACCTCCACCTGCACTCCCCTCTTCGCTTCAGCCGTAACTTTTCATCTGTTAAAACCTGTTCAAAACACACCCTCTGCGCCCTCCCAGCTGCTTCTGCTCACTTTTGAGAGAAGGGGACCCCCAGGAAAGAGCGGCCCCGCAGCCGGGAGCCGTCGCTGCGCTGGGACTGCAGGCACCTTGCTTGTCTGCGTCCTGGACTCTCTCCAGGGCCCTGGAGGTTTGTCTGAATAGCACCCTTCACACCTCTGTAAACGGCTTTCATACATGGTGTTTGACCTTCCCCGGAGTAAGGCAGGACTTCACCCGAGGATATAAATAACAACAACTCAAAGACAAAGCCAGAGCTTGAACCGGGTCCTCTAAGGCAGCGAGAAGCCCCCAAATCCCAACAAGTGCATGAGCTCTGGAAAGCAGGTCCCCCGCAGCCCCAGCATTTTCCCAGCCTGATGCTAGTTGGATACATCACCACATAACATGTCAGGTATTTTATTGCAAAAATGGAAGAGCAAAGTTTCAAAAAACTATTTCCCAAAGGAGCTGGTGTCAGGGGATCAGGACCAAAGAGTTTCCACAACCTGTTTC